AATATTTGTTGATGTCTTTATTTTATCATCATCATCATCATTGTTTTCTCTTTCTTGCATCACTTACTTTTATTGATTTAGTCTCGTTAATCAACAAACTGTAACTTGTTGTGATAATATTCATTACTCAGCATTCATTTAATCAATTATCATTAAGGTAACTAAAGTTTTCTATCATTATAACATGATATTTGTTTGCCGTTATAATAAATTCCCAAAATCCTTTACTTTGTCTCAGATTATTATCATTTCTAAGCCCAGTTCCACCCTCTCTCTCTCTCTCTCTCTCTCTCTCTCTCTCTCTCTCTCTCTCTCTCTCTCTCTGTAATAGTTTCAATACTTGAAAATTTCAACTGAATATCAGATGATATTAATCATGAGAATAAAAATGTTGAACACTAAATAGTTAGCACTTTTTACATGGTAACATTTCAACGGATTTCCGATGTAACTTAAGACCTTCAACTTATCTATTTTTTTTCATCTTCTCCTTTTGTTTATCCATTTTCGTTTCACTTCCGGTTCAGTCTCTGAGTTTGTATTTAATCAGCAGTAAGAATCAAGTTTCAGAAAACAAAATACTCAATCAGCATTTATCAAGCGTATTAGACAGGGAGAAATGTTTAAATTCTGTGAAATTCAGTTGCATATTTTATTCAACGAAAACTTCAACCCACAGGTAAAGGAAAAGGAAATGATTACAACCAAAAGTTGGTATTTCAGTTCAGAGGTTGATAATTTTTCCATTGTAAAACGATAATAAAGTAAATCTTATAAATCGAGAGCATCACAATGGAGATGATGAAAACTTCAGAGGATTTTTTATCATCTTCCCATGAAATTAGCTCATGATTAACGGATCTAAATTTTAAATGATTCGGATGAACAGGTAACAGTTAACGAGGGGATAAGTAGGTGACTTAAGTCTATCCAATTTCAATTAGAATTTTATTTTCAATTCCAATTGCATGATGATAATGAGGATGCTGAGGAAGATGATGGAAGAACTAAATTGGATAATAGTCTAAAGGAAGAGATGAACTTCTCGAAAGTTGTATTTCCATTGATAGAAAACATTTTCCTTCTCCTTTTCATTTCTCTTATTGGATTCTTGTTTACAACCAACTTGTTTCTCTCTCAATTACCTGCACTCACCTTTACTTAAACTAATTCACTGTTTATTCAATTCTAAATGATACAACAATCAAGTAATTGGAATTTACTCTACAGATACAAACTAAAATCTAACATCAGGTAACATTTACCTCTTCCTTTATACTTAATATGTTTTATTTAACAAATTCTCTTCCACCAAGATGAGTGAATGAAGATAAATTGTCCACTCTCAGTTAGAGTTAACAGTAAATTGTGATTGTAATCTTAATCAATTCACTCGAACTCGATAACTACACAACTAAATTTTTAGATTTTCATGGGAAAATTTTCAGTTCACCTTCTCATCTTAGAAATGAGGTAACGGTACTTTGTAGATAAAGTTTGACAATAAAGGTAAACATGATAAATCTGAATATAAGATGAATACTTTTGTTCAGTGATTCGTTTCGTTCAATTGAATTGATTCTCCTGTGATCATGTTAATTTATTTTCATAAAGAAAAACTTTCCCTCTTCTTCTGGAACTTTTCCCTTCCACCTCAACTCATTTTATCCTTTTCTTTAGCTTGTAACTGTAATAAATTTGGTTCAGTTCAAGTGATTGTGAACAAACAACAGGTAAATGTGTTTGTATTCCCGTATCAAAGGTCCAAAGTGTGATATTTGCCCACAATTCTTGGACTTCATGGTTGTACTCATGGTAAGTTTCATCTTTTAAGATAACAGGGAATCATATGAATAGATTGAACTTTTCTGTTCGAAAAGTTACAAAAACAAACAAACAAGTTACAAGAAAATACTCAATGAATTGTTTACATGGAATAGTAAAGGTAAATATTAACATGGAACAATTTTTTTCATATATTTGAATTCTCAATAAACTTTAAGATAAGTAGCTTTGATTATTGTATTGGTTTTACTACTTGATCGAACCATTGATTCGTGAACTTGTTCACATTTAAATATATATATTTTTCCTTATCGTTGTTTCATCGTCATCATAATCATCTAACATGATGATAAAAATTTTCATGTCAATCCATTCTCGGATCAGTTGAGTTGATTTTATATAATATCCATGAATAGTAAAGTAAATGTCAATTTCCAATCGATGATTAAGTTTCCTAAAGCGACAATTACGATTCTATTCACGTTCGTCAGAGCTTCTAGATGCAATGGGAATGGCGAAATTGTGACTTTCACTCAATGGTTAATATTATGGAGTAATAATGATAATAATAATAATTGGGAGAAAAGCTTTTCTCTTGAAATAGGAAATCAGATGAAATTAAGGTTGGAGTGTTGGGAAGTGGCAGTTGAGATGAAATTGTGATGATTTAAATGGTTAAGCTTATAAATTGATAACTTCCGTTTCCATTCATTTCCTTATTATCATTGAGTTGATTGTGATAATTGATGAAATCGATGAATAATCCAAAATGATGGTGATTAACTTTACAGCTTGAGTATTAATTGTAAAATCAGTTTCCACTTGAATTGATTTTTAATCACTTTCATTAATCTAATTATCGTCAGTTTTGTCATTCGCCATCATCAGTTAATTGTTAAACTTTTTGACAGCATCAGTTCCGTTTCCTTGATTTACCTTTTTCTCTTCTTGTTCCTTTTTTTTTCATCTAATGTGTTTTTCCTTTGTTTTTCTTCATCTATCGATTTAAATTATATACAATTAAATGAACAATTTTCTTTAATCAATTTTAAACCCATCATAACAGAAGCATTTTAAATGAAGTTAATTATTTTCTCAACAATTAAGTTAATCACTGAATTGTTTTAACAGAATAATTTACCTTTTAAAGGAAAAGTTTAAAAAGATAAACAATGTTACTCTTTTTCTTTCAATTTCTTTACTTTTTTTTACTTTTTTTTCCAATGGATTCAGGGTAATTTCTTATGAGAACTTCAATGAACCAGAATAGAAGTGTTTTCTTTTTTTTGTTTGGAAAACAATCTACAAATAAGATTAGAACTTTTTTTCATTGGAATTGTTAATAAAACATCGTTGCAAGTTGAAGATTTAATTGCTGAGAAATTGAAAAAATTGAGACTCAATTGAATTCGCAAGGTAACATTTGGAACTTTTGTCTTCATGGTTCAGAATCGGTTTCAGAATTGACGATTCAGGCAAAGGCCAAGGATAAGGTTGGATTATCATGTAACTATTATCGTTATTTTGACAATGTTTTTCTCATTGTAGATTCTCATGTAACTTAAGACAACATATATAACATGATGATTCAGTAGAAAGAGATGAAAGAAAGAGAAAGAGAGAGAGAGAGAGAGAGAGAGAGAGAGAAAGTTCCAAGTCCAATGAACCATGAAATTCAATGGGAGATGAAATAAAGAAAAGGAGAAATTCTTTACATTCTCAATGGGCATTTTCTCACTCAATTGTTATTCTATCGACATGACGATAATCATCATGATCATCATTAAGTGTATCATGATGATTATCTGCATACAAATATCATTAATGCTGAATAAACAAATGGTTTGATTGTTTCGAGTAAAAAAAATCAAGACGAGTCCAATTGCAAATTGGTTAAAGGTAATTACATGTTGGTGGTTTAATTGTTATTAATTAGTTGCTTGTAAAGTTAGTGTATCATGAACATCATGGTCAATGAGATTAATTGTACCAATGAATTAACTTTGTTATTGTTTCTGTTTTCCTATTGTATTGTTCATTGGTAATGAACATTCAGATTTCTCATGAATAATCAATGTTACAGTACAGAATTTTTGATTCATTTTCCTTTTACAGTTGAAGATTAATATTCATTCAAATTCAATGGTGATTGAAATGAACTTTCCATGATTCAAATGTAACATAGGAATTCAATTCTAAATTCAGTAGAATAGGTTTATCTTAATAATAACAATCGAATAATTAAATTAATATTTTCTCTCCCTCTCTCTCTCTCTCTCCATTGTAATTAACTGTTTTACTAATCTTTTTCTTTGGAATTATTTTTTCATGATAAACAAAGGTTCAATTGCTTTTCCTCGGAATGGATTCTGTCATGATATTACCTGTTTTCATGGAGCAGTTTGTGTCCAGAATGGAAATATAGCCCAATGTATCTGTGATTTTAATTGTAGAAAAAATTCAACCATGGCAGGGGGAGATTCCAATGATGATTTGATGGATTATTCAGTTATCTGTGCTTCAGATTCCAATACTTACCAATCAGATTGCCAAATGAAAAGAGCCTCATGTCTCCATCAAACTGATATTCTTGTTATTCACAAAGGTCCATGTTAACAGTTTTACACCATAGGAAAGGAAAAATTAGTCAACAAAATTGGAAATTCAACTTTTGTTCTGCTTCCATTTCATTTTTTATTCTGGAAAATTTGAAACTACTTCAGGGTGAATTCTAACCGTCCAATGTTGGGCTCAAAGGCTATTCGGTATTCACCCCAAATTTTCAACTTTACCACTGAAAGAAATTGAAACGAATGATAAAAACTCACAATTCGTTTCTTCATCCTGATATAATCTCTTTAATCATGTATCCTAATCACCAACATCTATTTATTACCATGTTAATAATCATCAATCTCTGGAGTTCTCTATCTCTCTCTCTCTCAGTCTTTTCTTTTTCTTATTCCAAAAGAAATGCAACAGATCAAATACTCGATTCTGAATGTGTGATATTTTCATCAACCTTTTGCTGTTTTCTCTTCCCATGCATTTCATTTAGAACTGTTGTTGTGTTCTCTGTCTTTTTTTAAGAATAAAACAATTTCGAAAAATATAATTACAATTCTACTTCGTTGGTACATTTATTTTATCTCTTTCTATTTAAACAAATTCAAATTTCTTGGAGTAGATCAAACTTCCGATTGGAATGAAACGCATTTCGTTTATCTTCTCACTTTAATTGTGATTTTTTTATATTAATTTTCTTTTACATTAATAGTAATGTAATAAGAACTTTTTTTAGTTTTTTAGCCATAACAATTATATTGGTAATAATAATAGGAAAATTGAATAAGACTCTTTCTGTTTTATACAAATCAACTGAGTTTATTGTTCAACTATCGGCTGATGTAGAGTAGGAAGATGTGGTTGTTGCTGCAACGTTGGTGAATGTAATTGTTGTGGTGGAAATTGTTGGTTTTGTTGTTGTTGTTGTTGTTGTTGTTGTTGATGCTGTTGTGGTTGTGGTTGTGGGGTGTGGTTTGTTGAGGTGGATTTTCTGGTTCTGGTGCTGGAAGAGGTGGCGGTGGTGGCGATGGCATGATTTCCTCTTTAAGATTGGGTAAGAAACAGTGAATACGATCCCATGTGATCGATGCGAGTAGAATTGAAACAATTTGCTGTGTCCATAACTAGAAGCATATTTTTCAACGATTCGGGAATAGACTCTTTAACCAGGTCAGTTTGCATCTCGGCTTTCATGTATTTATCCATAAAGTCCAAGATGGTCAACCAAAGAGCTGTGAAAGTGGGTAAATCCAGGAGAGGTTGAAGATGTTGAAGGAAAACTTTACAGAGTAAATTAGTTGCTCTCATTCGAGTCTCATCCATGCCCACAGGATCCCGGGTATTTAATGGTTCTAATAGTTTGGCCAACAAAGGAAATAGAACCTTATTGAAGCAACTTTCCCACTGGTGGGCATTTAGGATTCTCATATCGTGATTTAGAAGGGCTCGTTGAAGAAAGGTAAGTGCACAGGTACGAACCGGCCTACGGGAATCACAGCAAAGTAGTGCCATCCCTTGGAGAAGGGGACACCAAACAGATGACCAGAGATACTCATTGGCACCATGATCACTGGCGATACCAGCGTTTAGATGAAGATGATGCATTAAATCAAGTAACTTTAATGAACATGATTCAGTAAATGAAGTTAATTTTTGCTTATTAATCTCCTCTCCTTCTGAAATACCCTCCATTAAATTGCTAAACTCTTCATCTGAATCACTATAAGCCCCACTTGAACCAATCGCTGAGGTGTTACGACGATTGGATAGAGATCGATTGGAAGATCGTGATGATGATGATAATTGACCAGTTCTTTGTCCACTATTATGATAAGATGTACTTCGTTTCAAATTATGATGATGATGATGATGATGGGAATGATGACCATGATTATAAATAGAATTCATTTTAATCGAAGCTTCAACAAATTTTCTCAATGTATCAATGGCCATTTGAGTAACGGAACCACTAAAATCATCAATCTCTTGACCATTTGACTTAATCAAATTTTTGGGTAAAATTTCACGAATAATCAAAGTTAAGATTTCGGTACATCTCTCATATGCTGTTAAATCCATGATAGAGTAAACACTTCCTTTACCAGTTCCTATCGAATCACCAGTCATCAGTTTATATGGATTACCTCCACCTAATCCTAATCCACCACTTCCACTTCCGTCTGAATTAATTGACTCTAAGCTACCTGATTTATGCGAAGCTTGTAAATTAATTTCAGAATCTGAAGTATAACCACGACCGGGAAGGGAAGATAAAGATGATGATGATTCTTTCATTAGATTACGTGGATTAATTTCCTCATTATCACTTTGAACATTAATCGATTCAACTGATCCCACTCCTCCTTTACTTGTAATTAATCCCGAAGGTCTATAACCAATACCAACATAGAGTAAAGTATCAAATATTAATCTCCAACTTTCCACATTGACTAGTGATGAATGAATATGGGTAATAAAGGAATGCAAAGCCATCGCTGTGTAATATTTTTGGAAAACTTTCGGCTCAAAGGTTGTTAACATGAGCTGAATTAATTGATAAATCTATTGGAATAATAATGATGAAAGAAATGATAATATTCACAAATTAGTATCATAAATCACCATTAATTGATTGTAAATCACTCACTTGTCCACTGAAAGCATCCGGTCTTGGACTGAATCTAATTGCTAATCTGAAGATTGCTGAAATATATCTTTCAGCAAATAGTTCACTGTGATTACAGATTTTTGATATTCTTTGAAGGTAAGATTGAAGATGAGGCCAAAAAACGGAAGCTCGATCCCTAGAACGATGTTGAATATAAAATATAAAATATTAGAAAATTTGATTGTTCATTATTGATGAGAACAATGTTGTTAAATTGTTCAATTTACGAATGATAAATTACCTATTAGAAAGGATAATTTGTAATAACATTTCAAGTCTAAATGCTTCCACATCATCACCGTCTTCATCTTCCAATTCAATTTCAGCGTTAATTAAAGCTCTAATTAGTTCAACCAATGAATCAGTGTGTAGAAATTTTGATTCCTCAATTATGGACAATGGTTTACAGTAACATTTAATTACTTCAATTGATTGTGAGGCACAATCATAATCACCAGAATCTTTTAAATTTGAACCATTAAATCCAGTTGAATATCCATCTGATTGATTACTTGTTTCCTCTTGATTACCAGCAAAATAAGAGTAAAAAGATGATAGGAAATTAGATGAACCCTCATTTGCACTTTTATTTATCGGTTTAGGTTTTTCTTTCCTCTTCATGGCGATACGTTTACCCCCGAGGGCAAAATCTTCAAACTCCAACGATTCCTCCAAAAATTTGGCAATAAACCAATTCAATATCATTTTAACAATCTCAATCCATGCTGATCGTATCTCGTTAACATAATCACGGGCAATTTTAAATAAACACTGAGCGGCTAGTTGACTTTTCTGTGAGGCCAAGGGACTTGTCGGTCCACCGGCAGAGTTAATTGTAAATTTACACAGGCTACTAATCAAATTATCAAGGTGTCCATATTTAGCACAAAGCAGGGCACAAACGGTGAAACCTTGGCCTAAAATTTTACGAGTTAAAACTGAATTTTGGTGAACGTTAATCTTATCAAAAACAAAGGTCATCGCTGATAAAACGGGTCCCCAAAGGATCTTGAAAATTGGCCCATTCATTAAAGATAATTGTAAACATCGATCTTCATCCCGAATAATTGAATTATCTGACGATAATCCTTCTTGAGATGATGATGATGTTGTTGTTGTTGTTTTTAATTCAGTTGCAAACCAATAAGTTCCTGAATCGGTTTCACTACGACGAAGTAAACATTTCCAGAGATACTTTTCTCTGACGATTCCATGCTGCTCGGCAGGCATAACAATCTCATTGTTTTTAATTGTTATATAAATATCACGAAGTAGATTAGGGTCAAAATCTTGTTTACCGTTAACCTTTCGTAACATACTGATAAACTCTTCGCAGGTCATTGGTTCCTTTTGTTTTTTGGCATTTGCGTTATGATGTTCAACGTTTAACATAATTATAGCATAAGCTAAACTGAAGGCAGCGTCTTCATCGACAAAAGGTTCATCATTTGATTCAAACCAATGGTGCGCAAATTGTTCAAGAACTAGAGAGATCAACGGAGATTCACCGGGTAATCTGAATGATTCCAAATAGAGACGGAGAGCTTCATCGATTCGTAAATCTTTAAATTGAAAGGATTTGACGAAAGCCTCGAGAACGATAAGATTTTTCTTATTGGCCAAATATTCACCGATTTGTTTCTTATCGAGTCGGGAATTGTCTCTAATAAAGTTGACAATATCTTTCTCATCGGTGATTAATTTATGTTCTTGGAGAAAATTAATCCCTTTGATTGGTTTAGCGTTAAATTGTTCCGATGCCATCCAAAGAAGTTTCTTTTTCTGTTTTAATTGTTCAATTTCTGATATACTTTTGGGAAGATATAAAACTGTTGGTTTCCGTCGGGTGATCACTGGAATTACTTCTGGATCTTCATTTTTCTCAGATGGTGGTGAAGGTTTAACGGGTGAAAGGTCACCCTCATCTCGGACAACTACAATTTCAGTTAATGGTTCCTCGAAAGAGTTTGTTTCCATTGTGTTTAACGAGTTAACGATTCCCAGGTCAATATGTTGGGGAGAATTTGAGTTTACATCGCCAATATCGATACTCTCACTTGGTTCACCGGGGATAATTTTTTGCTCGTTTACTCTTGAAACTGCTCGAATAAATTGTAACACCTCAACATCGGCATATTTAAGGACCATTTCATTTGATTTTAATTCGACCCTTTGTAAGCTTCGTAAACAGACCAGGAGAGTGTAAAGTGAAGTCCTTTGGATGGTGGAAAAAGTTGCAGGATTGGGCTGTAAGGGATTACCACCGCTTCCACCACCACCACCTCCCATTCCAGGGTAGGTTAGGGCAGGGGTGAAACAATTTTTCGATAAAAGGTTAAGAACATCTTCCAATAAATTGGATGCATAAGGATCACAGTCAAAATTGATGAACATCTCATGACAAAGGTGGGGAATATGTTGAAAGAATGAATATAAACTGTCCAATGCAATCTCCCTAAATTCAGTTGGTGAATTACTGGTAACAATTATGTCCATTAGACGAACAATTAAAGCCTCTAATTGATATTTCAAGTGAATTCGGTGATATTTAAATATTATAAATGATAACCATATGGATGAATAGAAAGGTGTAAGATGTTTATCATGTTGTAAAAGCTAAATGAAGAGAGAGAGAGAGAGAGAAATAAATTAGATTATTCTGATTGATTGGGATAATTGGTAAATTAAGTCAATCGTTGGGGTTTAATTTTCTTACCAATAAAAGGTTCCAACATAATTCATTTTTAACTATAGCAAGGAGACATTGTTTATTTCCTATCTCATCTACCGCTGTCTCAAAGGCAACCGTTAATAGATTAAGGCCAACGTTGACACTTGCATCGGTATTGTTACTTTCGGGAAGTGGATTGATTAATGATGTTAGGTAGGTTAATAGTTCGTGAATACAGACAAGGTCATAATTTTTACGTCCCAATTTACGGGAGAAAATATCACCAGCCCTTGGAATTGAAGTATCTTCAGAAAATTTGATCCCATGTCTATTAACAAACTCTGATGTTCCTGCTGGTTGTTGATGACCAGATGATGATGATGTTGGTTGATTAACCGATTCTGTCGTAGTGGTTGTTGTTGTTGTTGTTAACGGGGGTGATGATGATGATGTTGGTATTGTTGTTGTTGTTGGTGGTGGTGGTGTTGTTGTTGTTCCTGATGATGGTGATGCTACTGGAGATGGAGCAATAGATGTTGTTGATTGTGTTGGTTGAGATTGTGAAACTGTTGATGTTGTTGTTGATTTAATTTGATGTTGTTCATTTGATTTGTTGACTATTTTACGATTTGTAGCAAGTGTTGGAAATTTAACTGGACCCGAAATTTTAACAACAGTTCCATACCCTGGAGAGATATCATCAAATTCATGGATTCGACTGAACAAAACTCGACACATATCCATTAGAGCTTGTTCGGAGGTTCGACGTAATTGTTCACTTAATCGGGACTCGAAAGCAATTCTGAAACACGATTGCATAATCTCACAAACGGTATCATTGGTAATCGACTTGAAACCTCTGACAATTATTTCTCGAAGAGCGGTAAGTATCCTCATTAGAACAATTTTATCATTGGCAGTGTCGGTGGCCACAAAACGAGCCTTTATAATAGAATCACCAACTAATTGAGCTGATCCCATTTCCTCTGTTGGATCAATTATACCATTGTGAAGAAATTTAATCAATGATTGTAATGCTAAATCGGTAATTGGTCCACTTATATCAGGATCTTTGATCACCTCACAAAAAGGTAAAAGATAGGAAACATCGGTTAAAGGATTTAAATTTCGAACCAATTTCTCTTTCAGCTTTTTTAACCCATAATATGCTGCGCTTATTGAATTGGTCAATTGTTGATTAGAACCACTGGACGATGAACCACCAAGATCATCAACAAAGGTATCTTCATCTTCCTCAGTCTCACTGGTAATCGAGGAGATGACGGGTTTACTTGTTTTATTACTCCAAAGACGACGACCACCACCATAGGCTTGAAGATTATTACTTAACGAATAAGCTTTGCGAATATGAATCTCAAGCCTGGAAACTTCACCCATAACAATTAACCTTGCCCTTGATTCATCGATAGAAGGTAAATTACAATCAACCAGACGATTTGAGGAAGAACCATAATAATATTGTTGACTATTTTGATGATAAAATTGCTGCTGATGCTTTTGTTGTTGTTTGTTGTTGTTGTTGTTGTTGGTAATAATATTGTGGATGATGTGGATGATTAGGTCCAATTGAAGTTGGTCTATAACCACTTGAAGGTGGAATTGCTTGATGATGATGATGATGATGATCCATGATGAAAGAAAAATAATGAACAGAATTAACAGAAGAAGAAAAAAAGACAAAAAAAAATTCCGAAAATCAAATGAATGAAATTTGTTTTTCTCTAGGAAAAAAATTCATCTCATTCCCTTAAAGTGATCAATATAAATTTCACAGGTTAAATTCAGGAGACAAGATTTGTTTACAAAGGTGAGAACACTTATTTACAGGTAAAAAGTGTTAATTGTGGTTAAAAAAATTGTCAATTGTGAGATAATTAATTTCTACAATTAATGTTTTTAAATTCATTTTCAACACATTGAAAAGTCTGTGACACATCACAACAGGTTAAGTTGGTCGTCTCATTTTCTGCTCTTAGAATAGCCCAAGTGCTATTCTCACAGATTCTTTTCCAAAAAAAATCCATTGGATTTGTTTTCGTCTCATTGATCAACATTTCTGTTAATTGTTTGTTTCTGTTGATTGTGTTTAATTGTTTCGTTTTGTTTTTTAAATTCACTTTTCAAATGTTTAGGTAAGTATTTTTACTCTTGTCTTGCTTTTGGTTTGCTCTTTGGGTATTTTTAGTAGTAATTTATTGTTGTTTTGTTTGTTTGTTTGTTTTTTTATTCTCATTCAGGTTAACAACATCAACTGTTGTTCATAGATTACTTTGTGTTCATCTTAATTGTTGTGATGGTATTTGTGGTAATTTAAATGTTTCGCAGGTAAATGGTTACAAATTGTTGACTGGTAAAAGGATTGATTCCTGTCGTTTATTTTGTTCCAATGATGGTGATAATAATAAAAAGATAACCCCAATCAAAGAAAGTGAGGTTAAGGTTGAGGTTAAAAGTGAAAAGGAAAATATTTTTAAATTTTCAAAGAAAAAGAAAGATCTTGATAAGGGAAGTTTAACTAATTGGTTTCGAACAAATTATGGTGAAAGAAAACCGAAAAATATGCCAACTGATTCTAGTCAATTAGATTCTCTTGATAGGTAAGAAATTCTACCAACAATTTATCTTTTTTTTTGTTCTATTCTATTCTATTCTATTTTATTTTTATTCTATTCTCTTTTTTTTGTTTCGTTTTTAGAATTGCCATTACTTCATCTAATGAGGATTATGATTATCAAACTGTTAATATGGTCGCTTCCTTTTACGATACTGATTCCAAGGATTGGGAAAGTTACAAGCAGATTATTGAACAATTTAAGAAGCCAGGAAAATCTGGAATGAGAGTTGGTCAAGTTGAATTTATCTATGGATCATTGAAACGATTAAAAGATTTTGGATTACATAAAGATACTCGTGCTTATAATGCACTTTTAAATGTTTTCCCGAAAGAGAAAATGCTTCCAGAGAATATTATTCAAGCGGGTTTCCTTCATTATGCTAAGCAACAATTTTGTGCCATCGATTTACTTGAAGAAATGGAACATAATTTAGTTTGTCCCGATCAGGAAACAGTTGATTCCGTCATTGCAATTTTCGGTAAACGTTCCCATGTTTTCGAGAAAATGGGCTCAATGATCTATTGGACAACAAAAGCTCGATACAGTGATCCTTACCCAATGCCGAATACCCTCCCCTTAGATCCAAAGGAATTAGCAAAGATCAGTTTCCGACGAATGAGCCTCGACTTAAATTCTGAAATATCAGTATATTCGGTGAGAAGATTTTACAAATTTACCAACTTTACAAACATTCAAATCTTCAAATTCTAAATTGTTCTCTTTTAATTTCTTCCATCAGACTGAAGGTGTTCCCGATTCGATCGACAAAACTTGGATCGTTTCTTCAATGTCACCCGTCCAAAAGAGTCTAATTAATCGTCTAAATGAACCTTTATTCATCGATGGTCCACATATCATGTGGTTAAAAGATCATATGACCAGTTACTTTGTACTGAAAACCACTGCTCCTAAAGAGATTGTCAAAGAGGAAAAGGATTACGAGGACATGAGAGATTTACCCTTATTCGCTTACGGTGGATTATCTAAAAGTGAACATATCGCAAGAATCGAGGGTCTTCATAAAACCGAAGAGGGAACAATTTGTGGATTAGTGGCAACCGGAACTTCATCAAGAGATTCACTTCTCTCATATATACGAATTCTTCAATATCATATTCCCAAAATAAAGGAATTAAGTATCATCTTTAAACAAAGAGCACCAGAAACTGCGATTGGTCCAGTAAATGAAAACGAACAGGATAGTAATCAAACAGAGGCGAATGATGAAAAAATTAAGTTAATTGTAAATAAATAGAACCTTCAACTTTTTTTTGTAAATAAAAAGATTGACTTAGTTTTAAAATTTACTTTTATGGTCAACATAAATACTATTATTCAATATACCATACTGAATTGGTTGATTTCAACTAATTTAACAAACTTGATTCTTATAAATACCTAATATTATTTTTACAAATATCCAATTAGAGAGTAAATTATTGGAAAATTGATCATTGAGCTGGTCACTTTTTCTTGATGAAATGTTTCAAGTAATTTTTGTTGTCCAGTTTAACCGTTTCCGATTCAATGGTTCGATTGAAGGTTTCCTTAGGTTTTCTCCTTGCTTGCCAAGCTTTTCTTTCCACCTCTGATGTCAATTCTTCAAAAATAATCGGAAGTTTAACAACATAATTGAACAAATCTCAATTCATTTAATTAGTAATTTAATAGTATTGATTGATTGTGAATATTAATCATAATTAGATTATTACAATTAAGAGTAACAATAACGATGAATGAGGAGTAAAAATTTACAATTCAAATTGTTTATTGTTAATTAATTCACTAATCAGTTTCTTGTTAATGAAAGGGTTAACAATTAACTAGAAATCATATTGTTAGCAAATGTTAATTGGTTTAATATAATTCAATGAATTTAAGATTAACCAAAATAATCAGCATTGATTGTTAGACTTGATTAGATTGACCTAAATCAATTGAGTTGCAATTTAATTACTAAGTTTGTGTTGAATGAAATCAAAATTGTTAATCATCTCGTTGTTTGTAACTAATTCAATTGCTTGTGTGGGCGATTAATTCAATACATTGGTGGCCTTTTGATTCAATAATTAACTTTGATCAGTCCACTTTTTCATCGGGAAATCAATTGAATAGCCTCAGGGTATTGTACCGATAATAATATTGATTAAATTTCAATAGTTTCAAGTTTAATTTTCATTATAATATCAATTGGAAAACGATAATAACAATTTAATGTCAATCTATTGAATTAATTTTACAATTCTCTAAGTGTAAGTTAATTGTTAACAATCAAAGCCACAAATTAAATTACCAACTTAATTACAAGATATCATAAGATAATATCAAAAGGTTTCCCCTTTTCCCAAATTAAATTAGTTAATCAGTAATCAATTGGATAATAATTGTGATTTTTCAATTTACAATTTAACTGTTGTTTTCTCATTGATTGATTGATTGATTGATTGTTATTGACTAATTGCCCTAAAGTCATAAAGTTATCAAATTGTTAGATATTGACTATGATAATTATCTTAAAGTAAATATATCGTTGGTTAATTGTTACATTGATTTATTGTCAGTTAATTGTTATTGTTAACTCTTTACCCTCAATACAATTGTATTAACAAACTGTCAAGTTTTAAATTCACAATTGTAAGCAATTAACTTGATCTAATTGTCTGTTTGTTTTGTTCAAATTAACAATTTCTGATTGTTTGATCAAAATATCAATATAATAACCAAATCAAATTAAAAAAATTTTTTCTCTTCAAATGATCACAATCAAGTTAATATTATCATTATTATAACATTTGATAATAATAATGTTTTATTGATTTACTAACCAGCGGCAATTATCATTATATTATTATCATCAGTTAACAATTTACTAATTCAATGATGTTTAATGTTCATTGATGATCAAGTTTTCAGATATCATGATGATGATAATAGATTTTATCTAATGGTCAGTTTGTAATATCGTTTTTCCTTATAATCGTGGGGTCAATTTCGAGGTAAGCAATAAAATCACATAATAACAATTAAAGTTGAAATTAACAATCAAACTTTTCACTCAATCATTTCCCAGGTAAACGGAAGCAGATGCAATTTATTTAAATCATGATCAACAATTAACATAGAGAGAGAGAGAGAATGATAAAGTTTAATTGTTGATGATGATGATGGTTAAGATTTCGAGTTGAGATTTGAAATGGTTCAAACTGATCTTGAACTGAATCCATTTACCTGGCGGGTTTATCAATGTTTTCACGCGCTTGGTTATCACCACCATAACCACCATGATGATACTCAGACTCATGTATTTGGTTACACACCGGTGGATGTTAAAGGTAATAGGAAGTCACCCAACAGGAACCAGAACAACAACAACAAAGGTAAACAAAAAGTTTTCAACGAAGAAAAAAAAAAGAAAACAAACTTTTCATGATAAATCGTTAGGATGACTGATGAAATATCATGAAGATGATGATGATGATGATCAGAAGTAGATAAGAATTGATTGATTGGGCTCATTATGAAGACGATCAACATGATGATACCTTTGATTAGGAATCATCAGTAAAACGATTCACATGATTAACTTTTTTTTTTCCTTCCTCAGAACTTTTTTTTTCAATTGGCCTTTTTGTTTGTTACTAATTCAATTTAGACTCAATTAATGATCAATGATGATGATTATTATTACTATCATGTTATCATCTTTCATCATTTCTTATACATACACCTCAAGTTGTTTAATTATAATCGTCATCATCATCTAAACAAGATTATCATTATCAAGAAAAATCAACAAGATGAAAAAAAATCTGATTGAAAATTGATGTTTTCTTTACCTTTCCCAATTGAATCAGACAATTAGATACACAAAACTTTGTTGATTAACTCTCAACGTTAATTATTACTAAATTTCTTCTTGTTGATTGTTACTAATCAACTGATTCAGTAATTAATATCTGATACCTTTGGGAACAGTATCATGAATGTTTGTTTATTTTTCTTTTCACTGGAAAGTTTCAACTTTCACTGAGAAAGAAAATATTCCTTACAAGATAAGTTACATGAGATAATATGTATGATATTCATATCTAATTACAGGGTATCCTTATTATCATCATCATCATCATCTGCATCATCTCTAGTGAAAGTAACTATCAATTTCCAAAGGTATTGAAAGAAAAAGTCTCCCTTTCCATTGCAAGTCAGAATAAAATCTGAAACATTTTCGTCATGAGAAAAACTCAATCATTAGGAACTTCCATCTAATCATGATAATGTAAAAGATGCCGATAGTTTAAATGATCACTGAACCTTTTTTGGTGTGGCTGACCAGTTGACCAGTCGATATAATTTTCAGTGAACAAAAAAAAATAGTAAATAATGTACAATCACAGTATTGATAACAGGGAAAAGTGAATAACAATCAATGAGATTCATTGATTAACAATTCAAAATAACGAAACAATCAACAGGTAAGAATGGAAGATAATCTTCAATGGCTTCTTTCTCATCGTCATCAAAGTTTTTTCCTCCTCCTCCTCCTCCTCCTACCACTTACGAACTGACCACATCCAACTTGCTACCTTGTCTTTTTTCGCATCACTTTACTTTCTCATCTCTCCTTTAGAAGAAGAAGAAGAGAAAAATAATAATAATAAAGAACAAACAAAAAAAAATTGAAATTGATATTTTCTTTTCCAGGTAAGGTAATCACCTCCACCTCCATTTGACCATCATTATCAAGCAAAATCAGCAAACAATCACCAATCATTCATAAGATATGGCAACTGATATACTTACCTGATTGATTGTGTTCGTTAAGGAGGAAGAGAATGGAAGATAACTGAGAAAGTTCACCTTGACAATCCCTCTTTTTTTCTTCTACTCCTCATTGACTTTTAATCTATTCTGGAAGAAGAAGATGATAAACTATCAGTAGAAGAAGAAGAGATGATGATGATGATGATGATGGAGAAAACTACAGAAAAAAAGTAGAATAGAAACAAAGTTGAGGCGAAATTTGAAACCAAATAGTAACTGTTGAGGTGCAGTTTCCAAATTCGTTGCAACGAAATTTCAACAGAAGCTCAACTTCATGTATCATTTGAAAGAGAGACAGATACATCAACATCAACATGAAATTTTCTATCCTTCGAATTTAAATTTAGTTCCATTTTTTTACCTGTTCTTTTTTTTCTCTACCTGTATTAGTAGTTACATCATATGGTGGCTACTGATTGTTGTAGTGTTTGTTATCATCATCTTCATCATGGTAATCAAAATATTTACAGATTATAATCATCATCAAGGTTGATTTGCAAATAGAGGGAAAAACAATCTGAATTAACGTTAGCAATTCATTATGATGATTATTATTAAATCGTTGGACACATTGTATTATGTATATAATATCATCAATCATAATCTAATTGTCTTCATCATCAAGTTAATTAACGGAAATGCAAGAGAAAGAGCAAACTAAATTAGTATTTGTGTATCAACAATTAGATGAAAAATTGTTGCAAGAATATTATTTTAATCGAGACCCAGTTATTACAAATATAATGTTCAATCATTGGTATGAATTCAATTAAATTCAAAGGGAATGGCAAGAGAAACAATCAAATTCTGGAATCACTTTCCCTGTTGTAATAATAATAGATAATCAAACAATCAAGCAATAAATGATTACCATTAGCAATCAAGTAAACTACCAACCAAAAAAAAAACTCAAGGCAATACTGGATACTAATCAAAATGATGAAATATTTCATTTGCAAAGCAATTGCTGACTGATTACTACAATGGGTAAGGTTATATAATAAATATAATACTGAACAAATAATAATAATAATATATATATATATATATATATATTATCAAGTATATTATGATAATAATAATCAACAAGAGGAATATCAACAAACAACAATCAGGCAAATAGAAACAAAAAAAAAGGTAAGAAAATGATGAAGATGAAAAATCATCACGTTAACTAAATCAGAGCAACAAAAACAACAGCAACAAAAAAAAGCGCAACAATAATGTAATAATAATATACGCAAGGTCAACACGCACCTTAAGGCTAGGCCAAAATCTGAGCTACAGGTACACCAAGTTACAGCTACTTTAAAGTAACTACCCTGTACTACTAACTACAATTAACTACTACATTTATGTATGAATTTACCTTTGTATTTACCTGTTGGTTCAATTTTTTTGTTTTCTGTTTTCATTTTTCTCTCTCTCTCTTTTATGTTCACCAAGATTATTGTTCAGAATCTCAAGAACTTCAGAACTTTGTTTT